CCAGGACAGCATTTCTTGAATCCTCCAGGGCTCCTGTTCATTTATTTTTAAATGTATTTTTATTGCAATATAATTGACCTATAAGGGTAAGGTATATCACGTGTTGATTTGATATATTTATACTAGTATATCCTATATAATCCTATATAATAAAAGCCTAATATGCAAATCGACCAAACGGCGGAACAAATGGTGGAACAACTGGTCGCTATGATGCACACTGACCACCAGGAGGCAGACACTCAACACAGGAGCTTCCCCCAGCCTGCAGTCCCCAGGCCTGCCAAGGCAGGTGCCAGGGGGGGGAGGGAGGAGGTGCTCTCCCCCAATCACCCCACCAGTCTCTCCGCAGATAGGCCCTGATCACCAGCCAAGCCTAGGGACCCTACCCATGCACGAATTTCATGCATCGGGCCTCTAGTTGTAATATGATGGCCACTGTAGCATGAACCGACACCTCTATCTGTCACATAATTATCATTTTGGTTTGGGGGGTGGGAACAATTAAAATCTAGTCTCTTGGCAACCTTAATATCCATAATACAGTGGTGCTGTCTCCAATCACTCTGCCATGTATTAGATTTCCAGGACTTATTTATCCACTGGTTCTAAGTCGCCCTGAGCACCATCTCTTCTACTGCCCCACCCCCCATCCTTGTAACCATCAGCCTACTCTCTGTTTTTATGAGCTTGGCTACTTAAAATTCCATATGTAAGTGAGATCATACAGTCTTTGTCTTTCTCTGTCTGACTTATCTCCCTTAGCATAATGCTCTCAACTTTCATCCATATGTTGCACATGGCAGGGTCTCCTGCTCCCTCGTGGCTGCAGGAGGTATACACATACCACACAACTTTTGCATGCGAGAAAAGGAAACCCCTGTGAACTGTTGGTGGGACTGTACATTGGTGCAGCCACTATGCAAAACAGTATGGGTACAATAGAACTACCATGTGATACAGCAATTCCAGGGCTGGGTATTTATCCAAAGGAAATGAAAACAGGATGTGGATGAGATAGCGGCACCCCCACGTTCATTACAGCATTATTCACAATAAGATTGAGAAACAACCTAAGTCCCCATGGATGGATGAATGGATAAGAATGTGGTATAGCCCTAACTGGTTTGGCTCAGTGGATGGAGCTTCGGCCTGTGGACTCAAGGGCATTCAGATCAAGGGCAAGTACCTTGGTTGCAGGCACATACCCAGTGGGGAGTGTGCAGGAGGCAGCTGATCGATGTTTCTCTCTCATCGATGTTTCTAACTCTCTATCCCTCTCCCTTCCTCTCTGTAAAAAATCAATAAAATATATATATATTTTTAAAAAAGAATGTGGTATATATACGCCAGGGATCTTGTTTAAATGCAAATTCTGAGTCAGGAGATTCCTTTGGGGGCCAGGACTCTGCATTTCTAACAAGCTCCCAGGTGGTGGACCACGCTTTGAGTACAGGGGCAAAATGAGCTCCACGTTCGCAGTTCTGTGTCTCTGTTCACTTCTATGTTCAGTGCACTTTCCCCTGACGGTGCCCACACTCCTGAGAGCATCAGCTCTCGCTGGAAGACAAAGATGTTATGAAGACCTGCGGTTCTGGATCTCTGTAGGGTACTTTGGATTCCAGGCTTTAATATTGTTGGCAGCCCCTCTCCTAGGCCTCTCTCTCTCTCTCTCTCTCTCTCTCTCTCTCTCTCAGACACACACACACACACACACATGAGCCCTGAGGCATGGGGATGTACAGAAGAAAAATAGGAATGTCAGTGACAATCCAGTGTGGTAATGTCAGTGACAATCCAGTGTGGTTTGAAGCTTGTGTATCACCTACTTGAGATGCCAGGAGACCCCCTGGAGCAGGGCCCAGGGGGACCCCGAGGAACCTGAGAACCCTCCCATCTCTCCCTCCCATCCCCTTTGCCTCTGCAATTGGCAGCATCTAAAATCCCAGCAGTGGCCTCATTTCACTGGGTCTTGATAACTTTGGGGACCCTAAGGAGCTCCTGTTAAAATGAAAATTTCTCAGCCAGAACTTCTTTAATATTTGCCAGAGCTCACTTTATTGGATTCCTTTCCCATAATTCCAGAGGGCCCCTGCTTTTACAGATGGTGAAATTGAAACCAAGAGGGGGAGAAGACTGGCCCAAGTCACACTGTGGGCCAGCCCTGAACCCTGCTTTCTGGCCAGCCTGCGGTTCCGATTCTTGGGCTCAGGCCCCTCCAGGCAGGCAGCTCTGGGTTATACTTTGAGAATCACTGACATAGTGGCTTTGAGTCACTATGAATTCAGACATGAACTCAAATCCTAGATGATATTGAAAGTAAATATTTACTGAGCACCTATTATATGCCAGGCATTGGGACTGCAACTATGGCAAGTACTTACAGTATAGAGAGAAGGATTTACTGGATTTACTGACATTTAGAGCTAACTTTGATTGCTACGTGTCAGGTTCTGGGCCCACAGATTGCACATATGTTTGATTCTCATAACAACCCTGTGAGGTAGGTATTCTTATGATTCAGGTAAGAAAAATCCAAGCCCAGAGAGTTAATTGCCCAGGTTCACACAGCTGATAAATAGCAGAGCTGGGATTTGAACCCATAGTGTCCGGGAGCACAGCCCATGCTCATAACCACCATGCCATGAGCTTATTAATGACACCACCGATTCCTCCCAACAACCTCACGCCAAACACAAGGGCGAGGTTTTCCCTCTCAGAGGAAGAAATAGAGGATCAGAGGGTAAGTACCATCTGGACAGTTGTGCAGCCGTGCATAGCTGGGTTGACTTTTGAATCTAGGGCCCGGTGCTCCCTCGCCCAAGCTCTGAGTGACCTCGAGTGGGCCACAGCACCTCCCCAAACCTCAGACTCTGCATCCGGAAATGGGGACCCCTTGTCTACTTTCAGAGTCGTGAGGATTAGATGAGATAACAAATGTGAAGAGACTAGCCCGGGGCTGGGGCGCTCATGGCCTCTGAGGGGATGTGGCATAAATGCTAGCACAGTGTTAGTCTGTGCACGGCCCTCCCCTCATCTCCCCACAGAGGGCACCCCTCCATCATATTTAATGTCTCCATTTCCAAAAGGAACCCCAGAGGGCAATGCTTGACCCCCAAAGGAAGCTGATTAAATGGAGAGCTTTTAGGAAGCCTGGAGTAGGCAATTCTTCCTGCTTTTTAACAGCTTTATCGACATATATTTCACATACCATAGCACTCGCCCATGTAAAGGGTACAGTTCAGTGGTTTTTGCTGTATTTACAGACGTGTGCAACTATCCCAGTCATCTAATCTGAGAGCACTTTCAACACCCCCAAGGAAACCGGCCCGACAGCAGGCCTCGGAGCGGCACCGCCTAAGGGAGAAGCTGCCCTGACAGCGGTTTGTAGGCAGCCTGGCAGAGGAGTTGGGTTGTCTTGGGGAGTCCTCAGATCACACCTCCAAACAACTGCCTATTTCTCAGCCACTAGAGAGAGGTCCCCAGGGCACAGTGTGTTCCACTCAGCAGTCCTCAGGTTCAAGAAATACTGCTTTTTTTTCCTCTATAGAGTGGAACAGGGGCTGCCTGAGTGTTTTGGAGAGTAGAGGATGGGGGCGGGGAGGCAACTATGTCCAAAGAGAAGGTGGGAGATGAGGTGAAGGTGGGGGAGGCAGGGCTGTGTCCCTGTCCTTACCAGCTCTGCTCCCGATTCCAACCAGAGGGGTCTTTTAAAAACGAGAATTGGATTGTGTCATCCCCTGCTCATCCGTGTTGTGTCCCCACTCATGCTCTTCCTTCCAGCCCCACTGGCCGCTTTTCTGTTCCATTTCAGAGCCTCCGCTAGGCAAGTAGGAAAAGGTGCATCCTCTTGGTGGGCAAACTAGAGAGAGGATTTTGTTCCCCCAACCTGACACCTGTCTACAGTGCAAACCGGTACAACTGAACTTGGTAGTTCTGCCTGGCACGTCCCAAGCATCAGACACACAAGACTTTGACACCTGGGAGGAGTGGAAAGACCGTGGGCTCTGAGGGCAGAGAGGGTGGGAATCCAGCTCTGCCACTTGCAAGCTGTGGACCCAGGGAGAGTGACTCGATCTAAGAGGACTGGCCACTTCCCACTTTGGGGGGTGAGAGTGTCGTGGGATTAAATAAAATCGTTCCTGTGCTGTGTTTGATCAATGACCCTCCCTTCCCCTGTGGCCCCAGAGCCTCTACCTCCATTTGTCAGAGGATTGATGGTGTTAGCAGAAGTGTGTACATTTTTCTTTAAAAACACCTTTTATCCGCTTTTTCATCAGGACAAACGCTTTTGTCTGTTTTTATTATCGCCAGCCTGGATGAAGCCTGAACAACAGATTCCTAACTTGTGCCCACCCCCTTCCACTCTTGCCCCTCCAATGCTGTCAGAAGTCACAAGAAAACATTTTAAAAGCTAACCCTGGTCATGTCGCCCCGCACCCCACTGACTGCTTCAAACTCTTCCTCACCCTCCTGGTCTCAGACCAGATGTCAGCAACTCAAAGAGGCCTTCCAGAAACGCTCAATCAACTTGAAATAAAATGCTGTTAGAGCCCATCTGATGGCCTGAGACAGCCACACCTGCTGTTCCATGGCAGGAGCTATCCTGAAGCCCCGGAGGAGGCTCACGAAGAGTTCAAGGACGGTCTGGACTGGTGACCCGGCTTCCACGCCAGCCTGGAAGGTCATGGGGAACGGCTAATTGCAGCTGAAAATGCGATCGACTGAAACCTTCAACGGCCTCTGTCCCCTGGCCCAGTTCTACTTTGGGCCCAAGGGCTGAGCAGGAGAGGAGAGCACAGGCAGCGGTTCTCAACCTGTGGGTCGCGACCCCTTTGGGGGTTGAACGACCCTTTCACAGGGGTCGCCTAAGACCATCGGAAAACACATATATAATTACATATTGTTTTTGAGATTAATCACTATGCTTTAATTATGTTCAATTGGTAACAATGAAAATACATCCTGCATATCATATATTAACATTATGATTTATAACAGTAGCAAAATTACAGTTATGAAGTAGCAACGAAAATAATTTTATGGTTGGGGGTCACCACAACATGAGGAACTGTGTTAAAGGGTCGCGGCATTAGGAAGGTTGAGAACCACTGGATTAAGGGATCCATCATCCTTGGGCCCAAGTGTGGGGCAGGGAAAACAGGCTTTGCAGGATAGCTGTTCAACAGCGACACCAGGTGGCAGTGGCAGGAACAACAGCCCAGCGGACCCATCTACACAGCACTCTGACATGAGAAAGCAAGACTCCCTTTGGACTCTTAGCCAGTGTCCAAAGGGGAACAATGGCGCTTTTTGCTAACAGAGGCATGTGGGGGCCCAAGGTAGTAACTAGAAAAATGAAGAGGTGACTGCATCTGTGCTGTAGACTGATGCCTCAGGCCATGCTGGGTACAGCCAATGAATGAATGAATGGACATAAAACAAGAAATACCATCACACAGAATTCCACATTTAAAAAACCCAGGTGTTTCTCTTTTTCGTTCGTGTGTGTGTGTGTGTGTGTGTGTGTGAAGCACAAAGAGACATATTGTGGTTACACAACTGAAATGCAATTCCTGGCGGAAATGTCTGGGCAGGCTTAGCTTTTGAAAGAAGCTCATAATCCCCAAAATACACAGCACACACTTTCCCAAGCAACACGGCTCTCCATGCTTAGGTCATTTCTAAACCTGAGTTCAGAGACGTTCACAAGGGTCTCTGGGTCAAGAGCTAGAGGGGGCGCCTGGAGAAAGGTGGCCCACAGGCCTGTCGGGAACAGTGTTGACAACCCCTCCGCGGCTGGTGTGCTGACAGCCCCCGCACCGATGGCGACTTCAGTTGTAGAGAACATCTGCTCCAAACAGCAGGAAGTTCTAGGAAGAGACACAATGCTGTCAACAGCTGGAAGAGCACCCCCGTGGTGAGGGTGGGACTGCCGGGTGGTTAGAAGAGAACTTTGGGAGAGGGCAGAGTGGCGCTGACGCTGACGGAAAGGCAGGAGTGAGGGGGCACTCGGGGTCGCGCCTCTGGGGTCTGCACATCACAGCGCCCCTGACTGTGTCGGCAGCTCTCAGAGGTGCAGACCCCCAGGCAGCTCCGGGGCCTTCATTTGTCACCCCGGCCTCATGGCAGCTCAAGGGAGCCCTTGGTCCAGCCAAGGTTGCCAACCCACTTCCCTGTTCCTTCCTGCCCTTTACTCAGAACTTTCACAGATGAAGAAATAAAATGGTGCCATGGGGTCATTATTTCTTTTAAGGATGAGCTTGGGGAAAGGTGGGCAAATAGGAGATGTGTTTTCTCTGCTCTCTCATCTACGTTTCTCCATTCTCTTCACCCTATTAGTTCCCTAGTCTAAAGAGTTGGGGGTTGCTTGGATGTTGGGAATGAGGGAGGGCAAGGAATCTGGGTGATGGGGGTTCCCATGGGGCCATGAGGCTATCAGGAAAGACATTGACTAAGGTAAGGAGGGCAACAGGAGGCGATGGTTTGTTGCAGAGCGATCAGCTTCGCTGGGACAGGCTCGGGCCTCGGGGTGCTGAGCCTGAGCTGATGGCCGTGACCAGGGAAAGCCCATAGTGGGGAAGGCAGAGCCTGGGCAGGAGCCCGGGGAACTCCCTGTGGGAAGGAAGGGGAAGCAGGAAGCAGCGAAGGAGACTGAAAGGCCCTAGGGAGAGGCAGCTGGCAAACAGGGAGAGGGGGCTCTTTGACGCTAAGAAGACTGCTCCCAAGAAAGGGGTAAAGAGTGCCCGATGCTGCTGGGAGTCAGGCTGGGAGAAGGGCAGGAGGAGGTGGCCCGGACTGGTATCTGAATTCGCCAGCCACTGACCAGGCTTCATACCCACAGGCGTGGAATGACACCGATGCAAAAGAAGAGGCATGCAACAATAATTAAATGCAGCCGCCGAGGCTCTATGGCACCGAGGGAGTTGCATTTTTACCAGGTGTCAGGTGCGAATGATGCAGCCAACAGTTAAAAGCAGGGACCTGGCCCTGGCTGGTGTGGCTCAGTTGGTTCGAAAAGTCGCTGGTTCGATTCCTGGTCAGGACACATGCCCAGGTTACAGATTGGCTCCCTGGTTGGGGTGCATATGGGAGGCAACCAATCAATGTTTCTCACATCCATGTCCCTCTCTCTCTCACTCTCTCTCTCTTCCTCTCTAAGAAAATCAATTAAAAAATATATGCAGGGGCCTGGCTTCGGATCTGGACTTCATTAAATAGCCACGTGGCATTTCTGAGTCTTGGGCTTCCTTCTCTGTTTATCAAGAGCGCCCACCTTCCGGGGTGCTGTAAGGGTAGAAAGTGCGTGGCACGGGGCTTGCATAGGGAAAGCTTTTCAGCACCAGTTGCGTTGTGGTGGAGACCGGGTGAAAAGAGACCTTTGGGACTCACCTGGTAAGGCTGAAGCACCAGGTTGAAGAGCTGGACGTGGGTGGGCAGCGGGAGAGGGTAGCCTTTCTGCAGCCTCTCTGCAATGGAGGTTCAGGAAAGGATCAGGGAGGAGACGGGAGGAGATGGGGCCAGGTGGGCGGCCTCCCTGGGCTGGAGAGAGACCTGGGACCCGCGCATTCCCGCCCCATCACCCAAGCTCACGTCCAGGACCTGAGCAGGCGTCCTGACCATGATCCCCCTGCTGAGGGTGAGCACCCTGCTAGTGGGCACCAGGCCTGGGTGGCAACCAGGGGGCGCTGCTCACACGGGTGTGGACGGCCTGTGGACATGTGATTGGGGGTATCTACTTGTGGTTGCAGGAAGCCCCTCAATGTTTAGGATAAAATCAGAGATGGGCGGTGGCCAGGGGTCAGCTCTCTGACACCACCACGTTCTGAACTGGAACTCAGGACGATGCTAAATTCAAACCTGGTCTCCTAGGTCATTATGAAGCTACATGTGTCAAGGTGTGAGGATGAGTCAGACTCTATATAATAATTTGTTGCCTTCATTTATTATTTTTAATAGTCTAATCACATGCTATGTGGGCCTCTCTGTGTACCGTCGCCCCTGGCTACGCCAAGGTTAGCGGCAGGCTCACCAGTGTGGTGAGCATAAGACCTTCGCTGGGACCCTTCTCCCCTGGCCTTCCTCCCAGAGTTGGAGAAAGGCCAAGGGCTCTGGCTTCAGAGGTGGCATGAAACCCAAGCTCCTCCTCTCACCTGCTCTGTGGCCTGGTCATTTAACTTCTCTGACCTCCTCCCATGAAAGCAGGAGATATTAATAATCCCCCACCTCATAAGGATCAGATGGGCACCTAGTAAGAATGCCACCCACGCCGAGTTCCGTTTTCTTCATTCCGAATCTGGGCCAGGTGCCATCTGAGGTTCAGTTGAGGTGACCACCCCTCAGCCCCCACAAATGGAGCCAGGTGTTAGGCGGCTCTAAGAACTATCCCTACTACTTCTCCCAGGACTAAACCTCAGGTGTTTCTGCAAAGCTCCTTACCGTTAACCTTGGGAAGCACAGTAGTGGGCACAATGTAGTTCATGATGGCCTGCAGCAACTCAACCTGGAAACCAGAAGGAGGACGGCACCCACGTCAGGGCATGCAGGCAGCGCGGTCTTCCATCACCCTCCCTCCCACGCAGGGCACCTCCCAGTTGGAAAAGGCCGAGAGATGGACCCCAGTGATGTGAAAACTCTGCAGCTCGGTCAAGGTCATGGAAGTGGTCTCTAACTCTAAAGGTTCCAGTGGCAACGCAAGTTCTAGGCCAGTGATGGCGAACCTACGACACGCGTGTCAGAGGTGACACGCGAGCTCATTTTTTTGGTTGATTTTTCTTTATTAAATGGCATTTAAATATATAAAATAATATAAAAATATGTCTTTGTTTTACTATGGTTGCAAATATCAAAAAATTTCTATATGTGACACGGTACCAGAGTTAAGTTAGGGTTTTTCAAAATGCTGGCACGCCGAGCTCAAAAGGTTCGCCATCACTGCTCTGGACTATAAGGTGCAAGGCAGAGAGTATTTAAATGTGAAAATGCGGGCTAGAGGGCACACTGGCTCAACCTGTCCCAGGGTTATTCAGCGATGTTCATCAAAAGCCTCACAAATGTGTGTGTTTGGTGGGCTGCAAGCATGCCTCTAAGGCATTTATCCTGAGGAAGTGACAAGGATGTGGGCAGAAACAGATGCAAGGATGCTCAAAGAGTGATGAATGTAACAAAAACAATGGAATACTACTCAGCAGTAAAAACAACAAAAAAAAAGAATGAAATTCTGCCATTTGTGACAACATGGATGGACCTGGAGGGTAAATAACTCAGACAGATAAAGACAATACAGCATGAGTTCACGTATATGTGTGGTCGCCAGAGGGGAGGGGGATGGAGGGATGGGTGAAAATGGTGAAGGGGGATATAGTCACTTATAGTGTGGTAAGTAGGCACAGTGACAGATGGTTACTGGACTTAGTGTGGTGATCACATTGTAAGGAATAGAAATGTCAAGTCACTGTGTTGTACACCTGAAAACTAATATAATATTGCATGTCAACTATACTGTAATAACAATTGTTTAAAAAACAGCCTACATGTCCACACTTGGGGAGCCATCTGGAGGACATGGTGGCACTTTGATGCTAGGAAACTACACAATTGTTATGCATGACAGTGTAGAAGTATAATTATAATCACATATTTATGATATTTTTCGAGTAAGGAAAGTGGGCTGTGGAAACCACAGAATTACATTTTGTTATTGGATACACATAGCAAAAGGCGAGGAAGGATATACTTCAAATTATTAGTTAATGGGGAAATTAGGAAATGGTTTTTATTTTCTTTCTTTTGTAAACCTGTAGGTTCTGATTGTTCTATAATGTATATGTTTTGCTTTTGCAATGAAAAAAAAAAGTCAACTATAATGTAACACCCTCAAGAGCATTGCCTGCAGTGGTGACATTTACAACTTGTAATTATGCACATTTTTGTTTCTGGAACAATTGAGTCTCCTCTCCCAGGCTGTAATTCTCTGGGCTCATCAAACACGGTGCCCTTCTTCCCATGAATCTAGGAACTTAACATTTTTATTTTCTGCAGAAGCAGCAGTTGGTTGCCCACTGAGTCATCACACTGTGGTGCCTCAGCACCAGTGATGCCATGAGAATACAGTGAGGTAGCTTTGAGCCTTTTGTTGTTGTTGTTGTCATCTCTCATCAGATGGGAAGGGCTGGTTGGAGTTCCATCGGATTTGGAGGGACATTGGGACGGTCTGACTTGGGGGTTGCACCCACTTGGTGGGGGTACTGGGGCAGTGCCGTAGACCAATTCCAGCATGTCATAATTTTTAAGAGTTTCATCAAAAGGTTGATGAGACTTGGGGACTCAACAGGGTTGAGTCACACATGGAGTCACCTGTTGAGAATGGCTAAAGGCATTTCCCCAAACCTGAATAGGAAACTGATTGTGGCTGCCAGTTAAAGGGCATCTTGCCGAAACTGGTTTGGCTCAGTGGATAGAGCGTCGGCCTGCGGATTGAAGGGTCCCGGGTTCGATTCCCGTCAAGGGCATGTACCTGGGTTGCGGGCACATCCCCAGTGGGAGATGTGCAGGAGGCAGTTGGTCGATGTTTCTCTCTCATCGATGTTTCTAACTCTCTATCTCTCTCCCTTCCTCTCTGTAAAAAATCAATAAAATATATTTAAAAAAAAAAAAGGGCATCTTAATCTACATGTTATTGCCTCCTACTGGCCAAACAACTGGACAGCCATAGGCTAATTCCCCCAAACTGACAATGCTTCTGTACCCTTTGAAACCTTACCCTTTGAAGTGTATTATCTCCACCTTGCCTTAGGACAAATTGTGTTAATAAAAGCAAGGGTTCTAGACAAGGAGGGAGTCTTCAGTTTCTTTAGCTGAAGGCCCTCTGACCCCCAATGCCTTTCAAAATTATATCTCGTCTCCGGACACTTTATTAGTCTCTGGATTCCATTTATGCACAGCCCCTTTTCCAGATTCCTGAACCCTTCTTGATGCTGGGACAAGAACCCCGGCAGGGCAGGAGATCCAAGGAAATGTTCTCCAGGGGTTCACCAAGAGGCCACGCGTAGTAAGGCGCTGTGGACAGAATCCGCATGCTGTGGCGTCTAATGGGAGTCACCAGGGTGATGCTCACTCAGGGCAGCTGTTGAAGAGCATTTGAGCTGCTACTTACGTGGGCAGCTCACCAGCAGGGCCCTCCTTGGACGAGGGAGGAGGGGTGAGTCTACTTAATGATGGTCAGGGATTCCAGGTAGTGGCATCATCTACCTGGGCTGGTGAGAACCCTGCTCCTCTCCCTCCCACCTGCCCTTCTCCATCTCAGTGACTTTGCCACTTACCCAGCTGCTCAAGCCAAAAATCTAGGTGTCATTCTTCAATGCCCTTTCCCTCACCCCATACATCATATCTCTCATCAAGCTTTGCCTGGCCTGACCAGTGTGGCTCAGTGGTTGAGTGACGACCCACGAACCAAGAGGTCACGGGTTGCAGGCTGGATCCCCAGTGAGGGGCGTGCAGGAGGCAGCCAATCAATATTTATGTTTCTACCTATCTCTCCCTTCCTCTCTCTCTCTAAAGTCAATAAAAACATATTTTACAAAATTTTAAAAAAGGTTTTGTCTGACCTTACTTCCAAAGTACATGTCCCCAATCTATCATCTTTCTCTTTCTTGCTGGCCTCATCTTCACATGGACAAATGTACCCATCTCCCCATTTATTAATGTGGTCTAACCTTGTCCCTAGACTCCATTCTCCTACTCCCAGCCCGGGGCAACTTTCATCAAGGTACAAATCAGGTCATGTCACTCTGTATGAAACAGTTCATTGCTCCTCACTGCCCTTCAAACACCATCTGCTCTAGCCCAGAAGCCCCGGGTGAGCCAGCCCCGGGGCCTTTGTCCCTGCTATTTCTTCTGCCTGCGGCAGATCTTCCCCCTGCTGCCTCCCTCAGCCCAGATATCACCTCCTCAGAGAGGCTTTCCCTGGTCACACTGTCTAACCCTCAACCGTCTCATCACTGTCTACCCCACTTCTGTTTTGTTTTTCATAGCGCTGATCTTGACTGAAGTAATCTTCCTTTCGTATTGTCTGCTTTCCCGCTATGATGTGAAGCTCTAGAAGGGGTGGCTTCCCTGTCTTCCTCATGAGCATATCCCAACACCTGGAGCAGCGCCTGCCCTATAGCAGGTGCTCGGCAAAGTAATTCACTTGTTCATTCAACAAACATTTACTGGGCAGATTTTCTATACCAGATTGTGCACATTTAACTCCAATGGAGCCTCACCATATTAGCTCAAGTGGGAAGGATTATCCCTGACTTGTGGGGAAGGGTTGAAGTTCCGAAAGGAAAGTGACCTGCCCAAGGCCCACAAAGCTCCTCCCATCATTACCTCACATGCAAATTGTATGCAAATGACCAGTGGCCTCCTGAAATGATGCCATGAGCCCAGTGGTCTTCAGGACCATTATCTCAAGATCAGGGGAAGGAAGGAGCCTCCAAGGGCCTCAGACTCACCGAGAAGGGGCCGATGTCTGAGTGCTTCAGTTCCAGGAGCAGCCTGTGAGAAGGGGAGGGGCGGCTGAGACACCATTTGCCTGACTCATATGAGAATTCAGTTACTGGGGAGGAAGGGCCACTCTGGTTCATCCCCCTTCCTCTGGTCACAGCCCCCCGGTTTTTCCTTTGGGGAAACCACCCATTCTCTACACTGTCAGTGCTGAGCTGGGGGTGGGCTGGCCAAGGGGCAGGTTCCACCTCCCTGGCCGCAGTGATTGCTTCAGGGTTGGCCCTGTGGCTCATGGCTGGCCCAAGGAGAGGTGGTCTCAGCTGGAAATATTGGCAATGAGATGTTCTTTTTTCTCCAGGGAAATCAGGAAGCTGCTGGTGACCATTTCTGTCACCACTTGGCGATAGCCTTCTGGAAAATGAAGCCAGCGTAGGGGATAGCAGAGCCAAGAGACGAGGGAGTCAGAGTCCCAAGGACATTACTTAAGCACCTGGATCCACCCTGGCCTGAAACCCTTGGACTTTTCAATTGCCTGAGCCAATCAACTATTTCTTCTTTACAGCCTTTATGGCATTTTAAATGTGATCTCAGAGAAAGGGAGAAATAAATGGCCGTTTATTGAAACCCCTATCATTCACCCTGTTGAGTACTTTGTCCCAATGAATTCCTGCAAGACTCCAAGAGGCAAGGGCCATCGCACTGGCATGTTGCAGATGAGAAAACTGACACTCAGAGAGGTCAAACAACCTGCCTGAGGCCACACAGCCAACAATGAGCAAAGCAGAATTTCTAATAAGTCCCCCGGAGGCCAACACTCTTGTCTCCATTACCTACAAAGTTTGAAAACTCACTCTTGTTCACCAAGACTTAGGAGCCCCGGACCCCAGTCCTGTAGGTTATTTCAGAAAGTCTGTGCTCAGCCACCACCCAGCTGCGTCCTCTCCGGCTCCTCTATCTGAGAGGCCCACGGGAGCTTCAAGGAACATTAAACCCACCTGTTCCCAAAGCAGTAACTCTTCTCAGAAGGATGTCACAGAAATGAGCAGCATAGAGGCCTCAGGGACCCATGCCAAGGTGAAGAAGGACACCTCCGTGCCAGGGTGAAGGAGGACATGGGCAGGAGCCTGGGTCAGGACTCAGTTTAACCAGCGTGAGTGTGAGTAAGAGGTTGATGCCAGGTCTAAATGTTGGGGCCACGGCATTTACTCTCTCCGGGTGTCTTTTTCTTTGTGTCACCTCTATCCTCCCTCTTCCTCCTTTTGTGTCTCTCTTATGTGTCTCCCCATCTGCCTGTCTCTCTGTCTCTCACGCTCCGTCTCTCTTTCTTGATGTCTCTTTCCTTGTGTGTGTGTCCCTCTCTCTGAATGTCTCTCTTTCTCTGTCTCTCCTCCAATTTCTGCATTTCTCTTTTTTCTGTGTCTCCCTTTTACTTATCGAGCAATTATTTTTATCCCTTGAAGTGCTCCAAACACATCAACACATATTAGTGCCTCATTTCATCCTCACGACAATGCTGCTGTGAAGGAGCAATTCTTGGGCTTATTTTACAGTCAGGGACGCCGAAGTTTGGAAAGTTTGTTGCTTACCACGGCGAGCTGCGCTTCCAATGCAGGTGCCTGGACGTCAGACACCACGCTCACACACCTCCTCTGCCGGGATTCAACCCAGCACATGGACCCCAGTCTCCCAGCGGGGGAGGGCTGACAGGGTCCCAAGGATAGGGGTGAAGAAGTTGAAGTGGGTTTTCCAAGTGCCAAGGAAGGCCGGGGGTGTGGGGTGGCGGGGGCTGCTGTGGTTCAGTGTGGAGTGGCATCAGCCATGAGTTGGCCCACAACTGAGAGGTGCCTGAGACGAGGGACTTTCAGTGCCCCAACTGGGACACTCCGGGCAAACTGAGATGGCTGGTTACCCTACGCCGTGTGGCCTTGGGCAAGTCACTTCGTCTCTGAGTGTTGATTTCACTGTCTGTGAAATGGGAACATTGTGCCCTCTGCACACTGTTTGAAGCTTCAATGTGATGGGTGAACGGAAAAGCAATGGCATAGTACTTGGCACACTGTAAGGTCATTGCTAGCCCATGGACCCCACGAATGAATGGGCAGCTCCCTCCCCCTGACCCACAGGTCCACTTACTTGTCCAAGCTGAGTTCTCCCACAAGCCTGTCGGACATGGCGCCGACCTCCACAGAAGCGTTCGCGCTCTGCAAAACAACAACCCAGGAGGTGAGGTGCTGGCCCAAGGCCTGGGGGCTCTGGAAGGCCTCCACGGCTGGGAGGGTCAGCTTGGGGTGGGGGTGGGGGGTGGCCTCCCTTTTACTTCCTCCTTGTTGATGAGTCCTGGGCTGGGACCAAGTACCATTTTCTCCCCAGCTTCTGAGTCCGTGTCTGAGTTCCCAAGCTACTTGTGAGTCAGGCCATAGGCCAGCCCTATTCTCACAGCCATTCATTCATTTATTCATTCAACAAATATTTGGTGAGTTAGAAAACCGAGCTTCCTGCCTCAGCGACTCTGTGAGAACCCATTTAATCTGCAAAGTGGGGGAAATGGGTCTCAGCTTGAGACTGCGCAGACCTGCTGCGGCCTGTGAGTGCCTCCTGGTGGGAGAAAGTCTGGCCTCACCCCCAGCGGCCAGAGTGGGTGCCTCCGAAAGTTCACGGCGCGACACAGTGATCACATGAGTGAGTGCACAAATCAACAATGGAATAAAAACTTGAATAAGTGAGGGATTGAACATACCAATGAAGGCATAAACAAAGATATGTGTGGATGAATACATAATGAATGAAAGAACAAATATACAAATGAATGATCAATTGGACAAGGGTATAAGTAAATGAATAAATGAATAATAATGCATGTATAAACCAGAAGAGATATAGCATATTTCAAGTTAGCAATCTAATGAATAATTGAATGAATAAATGAATGAACAATACACAAATGCATAAATGACTGAAGATAGGAGTGAATGAATCAGAAACAGTACACATACTTCAAACCAATGACGAATGAATAATTGAGTGAATGAGTGCCTGCAGGAGCCCAAAGCAGTTAGTGTAATGGCTCTGGTCACAGCCCTGCAGCTACAGAGTCCAGGTTTGAATCTGGGTAGGATTCACACGGTCCCCTGACCCCGAGGGCGTGCTCTCAGCCCTGTCCAGGGCTCCCCATCTGCCCACACCCTGGAACAGCTTACCATGCCAAGCAGGAAGAGAGGGGCCAAGGAGGAGTTCGGGAGGACAGCGAAGGCCTGGGCCTCCAGGACCGGGGTGCAGGCAAGGCCAGCGGGGGACACAGTGAGGTGCGGTGGAGAAGAGACTCTGACGAGGAACTGCATGCTCATGTTGGGGAACATCTTGGCCAACTGCAGCCCCCGGTGGGGACAACCAACAAAAGGGACACTTTTACTTAAATGTTTCTAAATCCTGTCTTGTCCTGGCCCTGCATAAACACCTCCAATGTCTTCCCAGTGCATTTTGACTAAACCCTGAGACCGCATGATCTGGCAGCTGAAACCCTGCCAACCCCACTCTACACACCTCCAGTGCCAGCCACCTGGGACTCCTGTTGTGCAAATAGGACCTGCTGTTTTCCCAAGACCCTTTGCACTCTCTGTTCCCTCTCCCTGAATGCTTGTCCCTCCATTCTTTCCCAGCTTGGCTCTTTCCCTTCCCTCAGGTCTTAGATCAAATGGCACCTCCTCAGAAAGCAGTGGTGGCTTCAAGGGGGAATGAGGAGGGATTTGGTGACACCTCATCTCTGCTGGCCTGCAATCCTCCCCAGGTAAACTCAAAGTCTGAGTAAAAATAATGCGATTGTTACGCAAATTAAGCTTCAAGACAATTCCCTTAGCTACCCTATCAGTCACACCTTCAAGTATCACCACTGAAGAGGCTGTTAGGACTAAACACTTGTGTCCCCCTCATGCCCAAATTCATATAGTATATTGAATTCCTAATCCCCAGTGTGGCTGTATTTGGAGACGGGCCTTAAGGAAGTACAGTAATTGCAACTGAATGAAGTCATCAGGGTGGGGCCTTGCTCTGATAGAATTAGTGTCCTGTAAAAAGAGACCCCAGAGAGCTCCCCCTCTCTGTAAGTGCTCACAGGAAAGGCCATCTGAGGACCCTGCAAGAAGGCAGCCATCTACCAGCCAGGAAGAGAGCCTTCATCAGAAACAGACCCAGCTGCCACCTCGATCTTGGACCAGAACTGTGAGAGGTAAATTCCTGATGTTTAAGCCACCCAGTCTGGCGTTTGGTTATGGCAGCTGAGCTGTTTGAAACAGAGGCTTTCTTTAGCCCCCTTGTCTAACGACCTTATCAACCTGTTGGCTTCACTTATCACAGTCTGCATTTCTTTTTTTATTGTGTTGGGTGCCCGACTAATCGTTTTCTCTCTCCACTAGACTGGAGCCCCGGGAAGGCAGGGATATGGTCTTTCTGGCTGGATACCCAGCCCAGGGCCCCCAGCACACAGCCACTCTCACACCTGAGCCTTTCTGTTTGGGATGGACTTTGCAAATTACTGCTACCCTTTCAGGCTGGACTACTCCTGGATCTGGAGGGGGCTCTCGTCAGGCCGCTCAGCAGAGCCCTGTCCTCCCAGCACCCCTGGGCTGACAGCGGGGGTGGGAGTAGGGGGGAGGCAGGCCTTTTCTTACCTGGGGTATGAGGGTTCCAAAGTACTTGGTTGTCAGTCGGAATTTGGATTTCTTTGGAATCTATAGCAAGAGAAGAGAAGAAACAAAGATTCTGGGGAATTATGTTCTAGATTAGGGGGCAAATTCCATATGAGAGTGAGGGATGGAATATACAAACACAATGGCCAGACCTATAGGACAGTGGAACAATGATCCAGGGCTTCTGCAGCAACCAACCCAGGACAGTCAGGACCGGCTCCCTGACTGCCAGCTGCCCAATGTTTTTTGCCCCCAAAAGTCAAATATGCTCTTAAACCAATCGTATAGGATGCCCAGCTTCTATTAACCCACACCCAGCTTCCCCACCTGACAAGCTCCGTAAGCGCACACCTTCGTGTCCCCCTCACCCCCAAATTCATGTATTGAAGCCCTCCCTTTCTCTCACTAGGAAGCTTTCCCACCCCCTGCCTGCCTCTGAGTCTTTGCCAAATGCAAGTGGTGGCTGACCCCCTTGCCCTACAGAGTTCTCATTCGGTGGTCTTCATTTATTTCCACAGGGGGTAGGCGGGGCCTCAGCATCCCTGTGGTCCCTCTGCAGGGAGGGAGAATATGACATCTCTTCCAGGAGAGGCACAGGAGGAAGCCCATGTGGTTGGTGACTGGTTGGATCAGGTTGCACCTAGACCTGGAGAGGATGGCCATCTCTTCATTTTACCGATGGGTAAACTGAGTCCTAGAGCGGGACTCAGCCATGACTATATAGAGACAATGAGGAGGAGGACAATCATGGTGACATGATGCTGAGACTGGATTACAGAGCCTGGCATAAAGCAAGGTCTCAGTGCTGGCTGTCACTAGGAGCACTCACCGAGTGCTCCCACTGCCAAGCCTGCGCTGAGTGCTTCCCATGCATTTCTATCTCACTTAATCCTCATCACCCCCTTTGGAGGTAGATACTGTTATTGGTGTTTTACAGATGAGGGAACTGAGATTCTGAGAGGTGGAGGAACCGGCCGAAGGTGACCCAGTGGGAAAAGAGGGGCCAATCAATATTCGAACTCAGGTCTGGCTGACTCAGGTCCAGACCTTGGTCTCCCCAAAGTGAACAGACTCAAATCCAGACTGTCTGCTGCTCTTCCCACACCCACCCCCGGCCCGGACGTACCATGTCATCCTTGAGGGTCAGGTTCAGAACTCCAGCCTGTTGGTACACAAGCCCAGCCGTATTGAAGAAATAGTCAGAGATGCCCAGGTACACCATGTGGTCATGGTCCATGGGTATGGCCAGCGCCGGTGGGGCGAAGGGAGGGGGGCTGCGGTGGGCCAGGCTGAAGAACTCCCCCTGGGGGTGGAGGCGACAGAGTGAGCCTGGGCATCCTTCAGGCATTATCATTCAACATGTTCATTCCAGGAAAAATGCATTGAGGATACCAATCATGCGTTCGCAGAGGAGAAAGCCGTGGCCAGAAAGTAACAATAGCACCAAACGTCTCCTGGGTGCCACGGTCCACCTGCTCTTCCCACCAACCCTGTGAGGTAGGTGTGATCATGCTCATTTCACAGGAGCCCACACTGAGGCACAGGGAGGTGGAGAGGCTGGCCCAGGTCACTTGGGTAAGTGGCAGAGCCGGAATGGAACCCCGGGCACCAGGGGTCCCGCAGCACACTCCCTACCATCCCATTGGCTCTGCCTCAACCTTGCCAGGAAGCACAGAAATTCTACTAAATGAACAATGAGTTCTGTTTGTTTTTTCATCCATCAAGTTAGCAGCAATTTCAAAGAGAGAGGTGAACTGTTGTGAGTATACTTGTACTTTATTTTATTTGTAATATATTTTTATTGATTTCAGAGAGGAAGGGAGAGGGAGAGAGACATAGAAACATCAATGATGAGAATCATTGATTGGCTGACTCTTGCACACCCTCCCCCCGCCTCTCCGTGCCCACTGCCCAGAGGCCCTCCGTGGCTGGGGTGGAACACTTGCCTCATCATCGTGGCGACGAAACAAGCATTCCACCAGGCCACTCACGCTGCCCGGGTCCCGCAGCAGGGACTCCGGCGGGGCTGAGAGGACTGGGTGCCGCCATCTTTGTGACAGAGTGATGGTTAATTTGCATATTACCCTTTTATTAGATAGGATAGGTTTCTGAAGAGCAATTTAGCAACACACTGCAAAAGCAAATAATCTATTTAGCTAAAAAATAATAATGTTGAGTTATAAAGAAGCAAATTGTAGATGAGTACATATGGTCAGATACTATTTATGTAAAATTTAAAGGCCTACAAAACAACTGTGTAAGAATTACAGACACACGTAGGCAGGAAGGACACACACCGACGTCCTCAGTGTGATTAATTCAGGAGGGTGGGATGGCAGGTTTGGAGAGGGGGCCCAAGAGGGCCTGAGCTATTTATGTCTACAGTGTTTCATTTTTTAAAAAGTCAGAGGCAAATATGACAAAATGGTCATATTTCTTTTTGTTTTTTTAAATCCTCACCTGAGGATATGCTCATTGATTTTAGAAAGAGGGGAAGGGGAGAGAGAGAGAAAGAGAGGGAACAACGATGTGAGAGAACATCAATTGGTGTCTTCCATAGCATCCACCCATTCAATAAACACTTATTGAGCACCTACTATATGCCAAGCACAGTTCTAGGTGCTGCACACACAGTAACGAACAAAGCAGTCACAGCCCCTTCTCTTTCAATCCAAGTGAGTGACTGTGTGTGTTTGTATGTGCGTGTTAGTAATAAATGCTGCTGAGAGAAATAAAGCAGATATGGGGCAGGAGGAAGGAGCTAGTCAGTGACACTGGTCTGAGAAGGCGTCTCCAGGGAGAGAGGATATTTGAGTAGAGACTTGAAGGAAGGAAGGGAGAGCCGGGGGGTCTCTGGGCAGAAGGAGTGGCCAGGGCCAGGCCAGGGATAGAGCAGGCCGAGTGTGTTCCAGGAATGACAGGAGGCCCATGTGCCTGAGCAGGGAGAAGATTCGGATGCAGGTGGTTGAGGAAGAGAGGAAAGGGTGGAGTCTTGTAAGGTTTGTTTCCCAGGATGATGGGGAGCCCCAGGAGTGAGGGTATATGATTGTTGGTGTAAGTCTCACCTTCAGCTGCCCATCCAGGGTTTCAGTCGTGGCTATCGGTGGTGCCAACAGTGAGTAATCGATCCCGGCCACCTTATCTATTTTGGCTGTCACTAGAGGGAAAGAAGACAGACTATGAGCTGGCTCCCTATGGCAGCGTCTTTGGGGCGTTTGATGCAGGGTCAGTATCCCCTAAAGTTGAATTAAGAACTGTAGTGCTTGTTCCATTTCCACCTCCTCCAGGGAGCCCACCCGGAACTCCCTTTAAAAGAAAATGAATCCACACCCCACATTCACAGCCATCATCTTCCCCCTTCTTCCAACAGCCCCTCGATGAAGCTAAAACACAGGGTAAAGGAGCAGAGAGACCTGGGCTTGCATCAAACTCTGTAAGACCTTGGCCATGTCCTATTGCTTCTCTGAGTCACTTTTTGTCATTTGTAGAGTGGGGTGATAGCAGTGGCTCACGGTGCTGAAGGACTAAATGAGAAGAAGGTCTATGCCCTATGCCCTGTACATATTGGGGCTCAAACACAGAAGGCACCGATATTAGCATAAATAATATCCTAGGCTGAGCTCCGGCTGGCTCGGGTCTGAAGGTTTCTCTGCTTCCCAGCAGTAAACAGTACAAATTAAGTAAACACCGGTCCCTCCTTTCTTCCTATGTTAGAGGCTCAGAAATGGCAGCCTGTCCAAGGCAAGATGGCACAGAACTGGGACTCAAACCCAACATATTTTTCCTGCCTGGCGAGGCCAAACCCTGGACATTGCAACTGCACTGCACATCCCCAGGATGGGCTCTGTCCCTGGAGGGGCTGGGTGGTGCCTGGAGCAAGGTAAAGCATCATCAGTGGGCATAAGCCACATGTTTGCCACACCAGCTTCCAGGGAGGGAGTCCAGGGCAAGTCACGGCTCCTTTCTGAGTCTCAGATTCCTCGTGGTAAAATTGGGAGAATATGCAAACTCAGTGGGGTGTGGTGAGGACATGGAGAGACAATTCTACCGGGTGCAAGGCACACGGTGAGCTCTCGGCCAGGGGAGTCCTCCCCCACCTACTGTGGCTCTTCACAGTTTGCCACGCACTTGGGGACAGAGAGAATTGTCTCCGTTTTAAAGATACGGAAACTGAGGCCCAGAGAGGCAAAGTGATCAGTCTCAGATCTCAGGACAGTATGTGTGTCTGGCCTCAGAGAGCTGAGGGCGTTTGGTTGTGGGGATAGGAGAATGAGTGGGTGTTTTTCCACCTCCCTTCTGGACTTGCCACAGGACCTGGCCCAATAGGGATCCAATGTCAACTGCCATGTGAAAATGAAAATAATCTGTTTCACACCCAGGCCCAGGCTCCATCACATTCTTCCTATCTCCCTACCCCTCAACCCCTTCTACCTCGGTCTCCTCGACCCCATCTAGCACTCACCTGGCATTGTCTGGAAATAAGGTTCCAGCTTGGAGGACACAGACTTGGTCACTACCTGGCAGATCTGGCGAGAACAAAAGAAGTGATCAGGGAAGACTTCCCAGAGTGTAAAAATGTTCTTTGAGAATAATGATCTGGACATGCCTTGCTTTCCTCGAATGTTTCCTTGAAAATCATGTAACTAATCCAGTTTCCCTTTTCTCTTTGGCCACCAGGAAGCCCAGAGTCCACCATGTAGCTTGGAAATAGTGACTGTATATGACTGGATGACCTGCACGTCTGCATTTTATTGACTACTCAAGTGTGGAACTTTCTTATTGGGTATTTATGTTTTCTCTATTTTAACGTGGGACTTCTTTGTTTGTTTGTATTTATCCATTTGTTTTTGCTGCCTCAGATCCTTTGTGGATGAGGCGGTGAGAAACAGGAGGTGGTCAGGGTCAACCTTCTCTGGTCCATGCTTCTGGGAGCAGGGGACAGACCTCTGCTCAAGCCTGGGCACACTCACCTTTGCTGAGTGTGGCCAGACGGACGCTCCCTGACCTCCCTGCCCCTCACATGACTCTCAAGGAAATAAGCACAAGTCTGAAAAGTCCTGGGTCACATGCTCATTTTGCCACCGAGGGAGTAACTTCATTTCTCTAGACCTGTATTTTCCCATCTGTAAAATGGAGCGTGACAGCTTCTATTTTCCATTCTTGCCACCCCCCATCAGGAGGTGGGGTCTGTGAACTCCCCCCTGGAATCTGGGGAGGGGGGGCGGGAAACAGGGGCGTGGTAGCAGAAGTGACATTGTGTAACTTCAGAAACCAGGCCATAAACGGCTGTGCAGCTTCCACTTTGGCCTCTTGAAATGCTGCCTCTCTGGTCGCTTCCTCCGGGAACCCAGGGACATGCTGTTTAGCTCCATGGAGAGGCCACAGGTAGTTGTTCGGCTCAGTAGTCCCAGCTGAGCAGAGCCTTCAAGGGTCTCCAGCCCAGGCACCAAGCTTTTGGGTCTCCCCTGATGAGACCCAGTCAGCAAGGAGGAGAGACAAGTTAAGCCGCCCTGACCTGTTGATTCCATGAACTGTGAGGATTATAAAGTTGCAGTTGCTTTATGACATCATATTTGGGGCTCTTTATTTCCAAGCCAGACATAGCTGGAAACAGGATAAAAGTCGTGGGCTTCCCTAACTGAAGGCATAGGGGCTGGGGGCGGGTGGTCAGACAAGCCCCCACCTTCACAATTGGGACTTGCCCCAAGTGTCTGGTGACTTTTGCCTCAGTCTCCCCGGTCCTCACCTTTCTTGACTGTTGGGCAGCCCCTGGCAGGTGGGCCACTGTCTCCCAGAAATGCCCTCCTAGCGTCCCAGGACCCAGGACTCTCCCCGCTCTCCGCCTGTCCCTTCCCTCGCTCTTCCCCGGACACCCTGTGAGCTCCTCTTCCCTCTTCCATATCGGAGCTCCTTCCTCCTGGGTTCCCTGTGTCCGCTCACAGGTTCCCCGGAGCCCTGCCAGGCGCACCAG